CGGTGGTGGCGAGCCATGGCGGTGCACTGCAAGCCCGCCCTGCCCGCCGCGGCCGTACCGCGCACAATCCTCCAACGCGCACCGCCGGGACTACTCGGTCTCGGTGTGGCGGCGGCGTGCTTCAGGCTCAATTTGTTGTTGCTGCTGTTGTTGTTTTGAGCTCTTTTTATTTTTGTTTCGCCTGTACACGTGTTTAGGAGGCCGCCAGCGGCCCAGTATGCGCGCAGCCGTGTGGGTGTGTTTGTGTAGGTGTCTCGCTGTGCGTGTGTGTGTGTGTGTGTGTGTGTGTGTGTGTGTGTGTGTGTGTGTGTGTGTGGAGCCTTTCTCCGTCTCGCATATGCAACGGAATGCGCCGCCCTGCACTTCCTGCTCCAAGGACGGCGTCAGCCCGCCTCCACCCGCATGCGCGCGCGCACACACACGCACTCACACACACACACGCGCGCGCCTCGGTCGTCTGTCGTCCTCATCCCATTTCTTTCTCTGTTTTGTGTTGGGCCGCCCCCACACGCGCGTGCTCGCGCCTCGCGCGCCGCCGGGCAAAGCGTGAAACACGGCCGTGCGTGCGAGGGACCGCGGCCGCCGTCATCATCATCAACATCATCATCATCGCCGTCATCGTCATGACCGCCATCGGGTTTCATTTCGGATTCCCTTGGGCCCCGCCGCGGCCCTCGCGGCCCCGATGCCAATGGCGTGCAGCTATGCAGCCCGGCGCTCCACCGAAACGCCACACACACTCACACACACGCACACCGGCATAAGCCAGGCCAAAGGCAACGCTCCCATCCATGGCTATTTTGGAACCGGCGACGGGCCGTGGCGGGGCCTGGCCTGGCCTGGCGTGGCGGGGCGCGCCAGACATGAAGTAGGGCCGCGTCCTGGCCGGCGCGGTGCCGGCAGCCGGCGGCGCCCCCCTCGCAGACGTGTCGAAATGCCTCAAACAAGAACCGCCGTCGTTCTGGCCGCCCAGCCCTCACGCCATTAGAGTCACCGCCACCCGGGCGGCGACAGCAAGCACGGCGGCGAGCGCGGCGGGGAGCGCGGCGGCGACCACGGCGGCGACCACGGCCACGACCACGGCGACGACCACGGCCACGACCACGGCCACGACCAGGGCGACGACCACGGCGACGACCACGGCGACGACCACGGCGACGACCACGGCGACGACCACGGCGACGACCACGGCGTCTTCGGCCCGCATTCCTTGGACTTGGCACGCGGCGTGACCGCGCGCCTCGCCGCGCCGACGACCCGGATGGCGCGAAACACCCCATCGAGGCGACCCCTCGGCCTCCGCCCAGCCGCCCCCGCCGCCCCCGGCAGCCACGTGAAGTGCACGTGCAGGGCGGCACGGCACCCCACTGGAAGGGCGGGGCGGGGACTCCGGGCCGCAGGCCGCAGGGCGCAACGAGACTCCAGACTAATGGCGGCAGCGCCACCCTTTAAATTTCGCAGTGGCGGCTGCAATTAGGCGACTCGGATTCACGCCGCATTCCTCTGGCGGGGCGGGGCGGGCCGTCTCGCTTTGATGATGGATCCGCGACAACTTCTGGCAGACGCCAAGCAGCCGCGAGTAATCCCCGCGCTGCACGCGCCCCTCGGGCCCAGTGCGCCCCAGTGGCGCCCCAGTGGCGCCCCATGGTCCCCTGGCGGCGCCCGGCCGAAGCTCTCCAGGCCGTCCGTCAAGCCTCGGCCACATTCTCCAAGCGCCTTTCGGGCCTTTCGGTCCTTTCCGTCCTTTCTGGCTCTGCCGGGGGGCAGGGCCGCCAGGGCCTCCAGGGCCAGGGCCGCTGGAGCACGGCCTTTTCCTTGTCTTGGGAATGCAAGAAAGTCAGCAGTGTCGGGGCTTCGGCGTCGCCGCCCTCGTCAGGGAGTTTACTTTAGAACACGCCCCCCTCCCCTGCCTGGGAAGTTGGACGGACTGGGCCGAGATTTGAACGCAGACCGACGCCTCCAGCGAGGCGCGGCGGAGTCCGCGACGGAGTCCGCGACGCACACGTCGGAAGTCGCGTAACTACACCGCGTCGACGCCGGCCCTCCCCAAATCCCCGCGCATCAGGCCCTTCATAAGCGTGACACTCTTTGAGCGGGCGGAGGGGCGTCGAGCTCTTCAAAGAGACTTAAGAGCACTAGCGCCCCGCGTGGCCCCCGCTCTGCCACCGGATCTGGCAGTCATCTCAGCAACTTGGCGCTCGCTCGCCCTGCTCGCCCTCGCCTCGGGGAAACCACCTGGATATCACTTCAAAACAAGGCGGCCCCACGCGCGCCCCGCCCCGCCCCGCCCCGCCCCGCCCCCCCCGCGCCTCCGGCGTTCCGGAAATACGAGCCTCAACCGCTCCTACGCAAAAAGCGGTCCGCGCGCGCCACCGCCACCAGTCGCAAGACGAATATTTGCTCTGAAAGCACGCGAGGAAGCGGCGAGGGCGGGGCGGGGCGGGGCGACCTATCGCCAAGTAAAACAACCCGCCGCCCAGGAACAGGGAACACCTCGGCGGCGGCGGCGGCCCTCGCCCACGGGCGGGGCGGGTAGTAGCGGACCGCCGGTGGGACCGGCGGCGCCCTAGAGCACCCCTAACCCGCTCCGCCCCGCCACGCCCCACCCTAAGCAAATCCGAGACGCGGCACTCCGGCGCGGCTGCGCGCGCACACACACCAACTGCCACTTGAGCCCCTTCCTCGACATGAAGCACGCTCCGACGCGCAGCTTTTGATTTGTATTTCCGTCTCGTCGAGACTGACTGACTGACGGCGTCAGCAACAACAACAACAAATCCAGCGGCAACAACACGCCGGCCGCGAAGCACCCCCCCCCCTCTCTTTTCCCCTGCCCGCCCCTGACGCGCACTTTGATGTATTTCCCTCTCGGGGACTGAATGACTGACGGCGTCAGCAAAGCCACAGAAAAACCGGGCGGCAACAACACGCCGGCCGCGAAGCACCCCTCCCTTTTTTCTTTACCCGCCCGCCCCTGACCGCAGTGTTTTTAAATTAAATTTGTCTCGTCAGACACTGACTGACGGCGTCACAACAAAAACAACAACAACTACCCGCGGCAACAACACGCAGACCGCGAAGCAGACCCCCCCTCTTTTCTCCCTGCCAGACCTGACGCGCAGCTTTTGATTGTATTTCAGACACGTCAGACAGACAGACAGACGCGACAGCAACAACAACAACCACAACCAGCGGCAACAAAACGCCAGCCGCGAAGCCCCCCCCCTTCCCTGCCCGCCCCAGACGCGCAGCTTTTGATTTGGTTTCCGTCTCGTCAAGACTGCGGACTGATTGCGTCACAAAACAACAACAAACCTCCGCCGGGAACAACAGCCGGGCGAAGCACCCACCCCGCTTCGGCCTGCCCGGCCGGACGCGCAGCTTTTGATTTGTTTCCGGGTCGTCGAGGGCTACTGACTGACGGCGTCAGCAACAACGGCCACAACAACTCCAGCGGCAACAACACGCCGGCCGCGAAGCACCCCCCCCCTCTCTTTTCTCCCTGCCAGCCCCTTCGCGCACTTCAGCCAACCCCAAACTCTCGCAGTTTCCCGGAATCCCGGACTGGTCCGGGAAAAATGGGCTGTCAGGCAGGCAGAAACGGCGGCGGCGCACCCAGGGGGAGCACCCGTGGTTTCCCTTTCGTTTTCACTGACTTTTCCCTGATTTCCAAGTGTAAATTCATTTGAGGCATACACACACACTGACAGTTCGACGGACGACAGACAGACAGACAGACAGACAGACAGACAGACAGACAGATAGACAGACAGACAGACACACAGACACAGACAGACAGACAGACAGACAGACAGGCAGGCAGACCGATACTTCCTAACGACACCGCTCATCGTCACAGGAAACCCTGCAGCGGTACGCGGTTATCGTTTAGAGGTACCGAGACAGACAGACAGGCAGACAGACAGACGGACAGGCAGACAGACAGACAGACAGACAGACAGACACGAACGCGCTCGCACCCACAAACACGATCGCGGGCCCCTTGCGTAACACACATCTGGAAACGGTCCGCTCGCCGAAAGGCCGAAAGGCTTGGGGGATCCAAAGAAGCGGGCGCGGCCGGCCGGTGCGGGACTGGTGCGGGCACACTGTGCGGGTGGTGCGGGGCTATCATGCCAGGCTGCGCGGCCGCGCCATGCTTCTGGACGGCTACACTGCCATAAAACGCGGCCCGATGGAGAGGGGCACAGATGGGCGTGGCGGCAGTCGTTTTCGCCCCTTTGCTTCTCTCTCTCCCCCCTCGCAGTCATGGGGCATCCCGAGAGACTCCCGGAAACAGTGTGCCTGCACTGCTCCCAACTGCTGAAAGTTTTTTTTAAACACACGAACCGAACTTCGCACCTCGCCCGGGAAGTGGAGCCAGCAGCAGACTGATTTCCAGAGTCGTTTTCGCCGCTCCCCCTCTCTCTCTCTCTCTCTCTCTCTCTCTCTCTCTCTCTCTCTCTCTTCTCTTCTCTCTCTCTCTCTCTCTCTCTCTCTCCACTCTCTCCTCTCTCTCTTCTCTCATCTCTCTCTCTCTCTCTCACTCTCTGTGTCCCTATCTCAGCTGCTGCAGTACAGTGCACCAGCGTGCAGCGCGGCTGCGTGACTCACTCGTGACCGCGATCGGGTGCAGAGTGCCGCCGCAGCGTTTTCGGTGTCGCGATAAACTGTCGCGCCCCCGGATGGCTACACTGACAAACGACAAAGCCGTGGGCGAGCTGGGGCCCTCACTGTAAACAAGTTCCTATGGAGCGGCCGGTGCATTCGCCGTGACTCATACTCGCACCATGTACTCAGTACTCATGTAAACATGGGGTATTCGCCACGACTCATTACGCTCTCGCAAAAAAAGCAAAACAAGGAGAAATCACTGTGAATTTCGGTGTACAAATCCAATGAATTTCAGTCGTATTTCGATGCATTTCAGTCAATTTCGATGAAATTCAGTCCAATTTCGATGAATTTCAGTCGAACTGCCATGAATTTCTCTCTCTTACCTTGGCTGCACTGCGTTCCGGCGTCCCGTCTCGAAAACGCGTCCGCCTGGCTCAATCTGGAACACGAGATAAGAAACACGATGAGTAAGGCCGGCCGGAGGAAAGACGAAGTAGGCAGGCAAGGTGCTGTACTTTATTAGAGCACGGGGCGCGCTAACAAACGCGCCATCGGGGACCATCAAGGAGTAATGGCGCCGTAATCCCCCCCCCCTTTTCCCACGGAACGCAAAAAAATAAATAAACATGAAATTTCCTTTATTGGAGTTGGCCTACGCCACCTGTTGACGCCGTGCTCGGCGCCTCGCGCACAGTGTCGAAGCCTCCGCCCCGCCCCGCCCCGCCCCGCCCCGCCCCGCCCGCCCGCCCTCGCTGTTCCGAGAGGGCCCAAGTGTATCGTGAATCATGCGGCGCCTTACCTCCAGCGTCGCCACTTCGATATCAGCCCGGCCTGCCCGGCCCCGCGCCACCGCCAGGCACGGCACGGCCACGGCGGGCATTCCTATCCCCTTTCGGCCCTTTCCCTGTCAAAACAATGCCGGCAGTGCCTACACTGCGGAATAGGGAAACGCACCGAGACAACACAGGTGCGCCACGCTGAGCCACGCACGCGGAAGGACCAGTGAGGGCGAAAACGGCCAAAAAGGCGCCACACAGTGGATTTGCCAGAAGACCGCTGGAGGCGGCCAAAACTCTAGACGCGTTTTGAGCTCCAGAAGTCGGGGAAACGGCCCCCTTGAGCCCGAAACGTGTGACCCACCAATGGATTCCCTCCCCCTTCGGGGGCCCACTGTGCGCCGCCACTGCGCTAGGAGCCTCCGCGAGCCTTGGATCGGACGCAGTGGCTGCTCCGAGCCACGTTCCAGGACGTGCACGAGACTTAACAGTGCACTCGCGCCGCTCGCGGGTTTCAATCACCGTCCCGTCTCGTCTCCCATTTTCCCTCGCGATGCCGTATTGCCACCGTAATGCCCCTGCAGGCATGCCACGGCCACGCCGCGGCATGCCGGTGCACTGTCCGCCGCAAAGTCTGCAGGTAGATTCCCAATATAGCCGTTCAGTGATGGCATCTGCCTCCGATGCAGCTGTCATCAGATTGGCCAGGAGGTTGGAGGGGGGAGGGGGAGGGGGAGGAAGCTCGATACAATGCCATCATGTCGGACCGAGCTTATCGGCAACGTCATTTCAATTTGCGATGCACTCCAGCCCGTTTCCCCCGAACGTCACCCAGAGCACCCAGAAGGAGAGAGGGACAGCTGTCGGGGCGTTATCGCGCATAAAAAGAGACACGATGAAAATATAATTCAGCGCGCGGCGGGGCACAGTGGGCCAGAAGACCGGTGGAGGTGGTCAAAACTCTTGACGCGTTTTGAGCTCCAGAGTCGCTGAATGGGGCTCGAACCGAACGTGTGACCCCACCAATGGATTGCTCTCCGAACGAGGAATCCATTGATGGGGTCACACGCTCGATTCGAGCCCTGTCTTGCGACTCTGGAGCTCAAACGCGACCAGAGTTTTGACCGCCACCACCGGTCTTCTGGCCCACTGTGCGGGGGAAAAGGGGTCACAACTTCCCGCGCGCGCGCGGCGACGGCGACGAACTTGCCCGGAAATGCATCAAACTTTCCTTCACTCCGGCAATTAAACCAATTGAATGTTGAACGCCGCCATCGAATCCCAGCTTCAGCCGCCTTCATTAGCACCCGGTGGGCCCTCTGGCCGTCTCCCTCCCGCCCATGCAAATCTCCCCCCCCCCTTCCCCTTCTTTTCCTTTTTACTTTCTCAAGTTGGCCATTTCTTCCCCGCGGCGCCTCTTTTCATTTTCCCGATGGGAGTGAGAGAGAGAGAGAGAGAGAGAGAGAGAGGAGAGAGAGAGAGAGAGAGAGAGAGAGAGAGAGAGAGAGGGGGGGATAGAGGGAGAGAGACAGAGAGACAGAGAGACAGAGAGAGAGAGGTCATGCGGGGGCAGCACCCGGACTTGGGCCGACTCCAAAAAAGACAAACAGCAGACGCTCCACTGTAGACGCTCCGCGGCGTTTCCCAGTGCAGCGGCCCCGCGGCCCCGCGGCCCGGCCGGCGGGATGGCGACCATGGTGGCGGACACGGCCTCGGAGACTTCCCCGCCAGGGCCGCCCTCGACCACCGCGACGAGAGCGGCCGGCCAGCCCGCGCCGCCCCCGAGTGCGACAGAAAGACAAGCAGGGCGACAAAAAGTAGAGCCCGCAGAAGGAGCGGGGCTGACCCCCTCGGCCAGGCGGCCAGGCCCCCGCCAAGCCCGGAGCGGCACGGCGGCAGGGCGCGGCGCGGCCCACAGCGCCCCACAGGGCGTGAGGCCAACAATTTCAAACCGTAAATCACATTTATATCCCTACTAGCGCCGTCTCTAGCCTCGCGCTAGTGCTGGCCTCCGCGAACCAGCCAGCACCACGCCGCCAGGGCCGCCACCTCGCGACCCTTCGCAGCCAAAAGCTTGATCTGCATGCCGGGCAGGGGGAAGGGGGAAGCCAGCCGACACTCCCACACCTCCAACAAATTGGGCTGCCCTGGCGGCCCTGGCGGCCCCGGAGGCCCTGGAGGGGGCACCCGGTCGCCCCGCCGCCCCGCCAAGGCACCGCCTGCTTGTACAGTCGTGGGTGCAGTGGGTCTCGTGGCCGCGAGCCTCGCCGTCGGGCGGGGCGGGGCGGGGCGCGGTCTGCCCGACCTCACCGAGAGCTTCAAGTACTGCTTCACGCTCCACAGCGCCATGGCAGCGGCAAGGAGGCGGCGAATACAGTGTACTTGAGCCCCGGCCGTCAGGCGCAGCAGACCGCCGCACTCGGCTACACTGCTCGCTGACCATCCATCCGTCTGTCTGTCTGACTGTCTGTCTGTCTGTGGCGTGGCGCCTGCAGAGCAGAGCACTAAAATCAGAGACCTGCAGTAAACGGCGCAGGGTGCCGATACCCCACCCTTTGCTGGACCGCCGCTGGAGTCGCGACTGGAGTCCAGCCGAGTCCAGCGGTCCGGCGGCCCCTCCAGGACTCGGCCAAAGCGCGCGGCACAACAAGCGAGACTAGTCGAGGTACGAGTTCGCAGCGCTCCACCGCACAGTGGGCCAGAAGACCGGCGGAGGCGGCCAAAACTCTAGACGCGTTTTGAGCTCCAGAGTCGCTAAGCAGGACTAGAACTGAACGTGTGACCCCACCAATGGATTGGTCTCCGAACGAGGAATCCATGGTCGGGGTCACACGTTCGGTTCGAGGCTTGCTTAGCGACTCTGGAGCTCAAAACGCGTCTAGAGTTTTGGCCGCCTACACCGGTCTTCTGGCCCACTGTGCAGCGGCGGGGTGCATGGCGGGGCCAAGAATGCACGACAATTCCTCAGCGACATCATCAAGCTGACGTTTGAATCTCGACACAAGCCTCTCCACTGTGAAAGGAGCCTGGAGGCTCCAGGAGGGACGTCGAGTGCAGTGCTTGAGATTAAACGAAAGCAGGCCGCCCCCGCCCCGTCTGCCTCGTTGGGGCCTCGTCTCCTCTCCAGGGCACATGTATCACCACAACACGTACCACATTCCCCCCCCCCTCCCTTTTCAGCCTCTCCGCGCGGCCTGCTCGGCAAATTAACAATCTAAGGTAGATTCAGCGCAGCGCGCGCAGCCACGAGACACGTTTGAAAGCGAGCCAAAGCGAACCGCGAGTACACTGTAAAGAAAGACTGCCTCTCTTTCTCTTTATATATATATTATTTCCCGTCGGAGAAATGTAATAACCACGGCGAGCGTTTCCGGAGGACTCTCTCTGTCCCTCTCGCACCGCTGGGGCCTGCGGGTCACCCCGTGAGTGCGACAAAGACAGAGCGACGAAACTACTCTTCGGAATCAGTCTGGCGTGGCACAGTGGGCTAGAAACCGGCGGAGGCGGCCTAAAGTCTAGACACGTTTTGAGCTCCACAGTCGCTAAACAGGACTCGAACCGACCGAGTGACCCCACCAATGGATTGCTCTCCGGACGAGGAATCCATTGGTGGGGTCACACGTTCGCGGTTCGAGTCCTGTTTAGTGACTCGGGAGCTCAAAACGGGTCTAGAATTTCGGCCGCCTCCGCCGGTTTCTGGCCCACTGTGCGTGGCGGCGCGGCGGTCCCCTCCACTATTCCCGGCAGGAAGCGGCGATATTTTTCAGGTGGGAAGATGGGGGTGCAAGCACCTTGCAAGGTCCGAGGCCCAAATGTGAGGGTGCGGGCGAGCGAGGCCGAGGGACTAAATTGGAGGCACGGTCCGCCCCGGAAAATCCTGTTTCGAACAAAGAGCGCTGCTTTCCCGATTCCACGATCAAGTTCTCCAACGGAAGGCACGCCCTGCCCTGGCAAAGTGGCGGTGCCTGCACTTGCCTCAAAAGAAATGGTCGGCAAAAATGACCTCTTCGCTCGTTTTCGACACTCTGGGCCAAAATTTACTTTGTCAGGAAATCGATAAACAAGCGTGAAGACGGCCCGGCCAGACGTGGCGCTCCGTGTTCCCGGATCGGAGCCGCAAGATGGAGACATTTGCGGGGAAGGAGGCCGACGCGCCGTCTGCCGATAACAACAATAGGCCAATGAGCCTGAGTAGATATGGGGGACCCGCCCCGCCCCGCCCCGCCTCGCCCCGTCCGGCAAAGCCACGCCACGCCCCACTGGTCCCTCGCTTTCAATTCCAGGCCACGCCATGCAAATGCCGATATTCGCTGGGGGTGAGATTGGCTTGGCGTGCCCCAACCCTCGGCGCCGTGCCCCACCACACGTCGGGGCTGCCAGCTCGGCCGGGGCTGCCAGACAGGCGGCCTGTCCTTGAAAGCCCTTCCCCCACACCCCAGCTACGCCCAGCTACGCCCAGCCGGTGGCGGAGATAGGACCTGGCCCCTAGTTATCGGGATCGCCCTGGCCAGGGCAAGCCAGGGCCTGGACGTCCACCCTCACTGCGCCCTGCTGCCAAACCACTCCACTACGCCACTACGGGACGGTTCGACGGTGGCGGAGCCGGAACGGGCTGAAATCGGGCGGGGTCGCCGCCGTCCCGGGTTCAACTCCCCGCCGTCTC